CAAGCCTCGCACCAACCCGCTCTTAGGGCTGTGCAGCTTGGCGAGTGCCTGCCAGTCCCTCAGACAGAAGACCACATTGTGCTGTGATCATATTGTTAAGAGCTTACAGATGTTTTCATACAGTTCTCATAGTTTAAGGAAGTGCTAGGAATAGAGGGATAATCACAATGTTTATATTGTAATAATCCAAATAGCATCCATCACTAACTCTGCAGCCCACAAACTCCTCACAGGTAAAGGCCAGCATAGTGAAACCCAAAGAGCTTTCCCTGCAAGTGACACAGGTTCACTACGTAAAGCATAATGCAACCAAAGGTGTCTGGATGGATCCCACCTCTCTGAAGGGCAAAGGCATCAGTGTGGCTTCAGCTAAACCCCGGTACTCCCTTGTCTCCAGAAGAGCATATAATAATTGCAAGGAGTTGGAATACTCTCACAGCCACAGAGGTTTAAATGACAGAAGCAAAGCAACATTTGTAGGAGATGGTAACACCTTTTATCATATAGTTAGTTAGCAAACAGAATTTAATTGCTCCCTTTCCAGAAGGAACTAAATGGTGAAAAGCTGCTATTGCTACCCACAAACCTTGCTTGGTGCAAAACACAACACACACAGATAATCTGTTTTCCAAGGCAGCCAGATGCTCCTTTTCCTGATACCACTATTTGTTGCACCCACAATACTTTCAGCACACGCTGCAAGGCTTCAGAAAACAAAACCAAAGAGCTACTCTGACACCTGACCACTAACGGTTCCCAAATGGCTCTGGTAAGCACAGGGCTGGGCGTACAGCAGCAGGGAGCTGCGAATGTGTCACCTAGAAGCAATAAACAGAGGTGTCATTGATTGCCAACTAGTGCATCTAAGTCATTGCTCATGCTTGTTCTGGTCTCCTCTCCAGATGGCCAGAGTTCGAAACCCCTCCTTACACCCTGCACAGCAGGTCTCAACTTGCCTGGTGTAATAGGTAGTAAACTGTTTGTTCATCAAACTTAGTTAACAACGGTGGGGAGTGTAATAGACGGTATTTGTTTACTGAACCTCTCCCAAGGAAGTCCTTCATCTTCAGGTCAGCAGGAGCCCAGGCATGCTAATGGTATTGCAGATGCACAACCACAGGCATAGCTTCTCTTGAGAAATTAACCTGTCTCAGAAAGGCTGACCATACGATTTTCACCAGAGTATGAGCTTTTTAAATTAGACAAAGAAAGACAGCTCCTTCATAAGCCCATTAAAATGGTACTCAAAGTCAATGTGAAAACCCTGCAGCCCCTCCAGGAAAACCCTGCAGCCCAAAGCTGCTTTTGTGTTCAAGCAACTCGTACTTCCTTCCGCTGCACTGAAAATTTCTTTTTTACATTGCTTTCATTTTGCGATTCCATTGCTGAATTCCTTAAAGTGCTGTGGCATGTGCTTTTTTATCAGCTCTGCTACCAAAATAAGCCAGCGCACTAACTAAACCAGCAGTCTGACCGAGCTGTAGGAGAGATGTTAGCAGCGAGGATTTTGTTTTCTCATGATAAAATGAAAGTCTGAGACTCACTGGAAAGGGCAGATAAGGGACCTGGCACTGCATTGTGCTGTCAAGGCGTGATGGGTTTATGAGCTTCAAGACAAAGCTAGATTAGAGTGAAAAGCAGAAGTTCATGTCTGATCAAAGAAAGCACATGCCTGCAGGGATAACATATTTTCTTTACATGAAAGGTCACCTCAGGACAGAGATAAGGGCTGGGGGACTTGTAGACAGAGAAAGGAGAGGAAAGGGCAGCCTGGCAGCCAGCTGCCACCCACGGGCATGTAGCAACAGGACGAGGAGTAATGTTTTAAATTAGAAAAGGGCAGATTTAGGTTGGATATTAAGAAAACGTTCTTCAATATGAGGGTGGTAGATCATTGGAACAGGTTGCCCAGAGAGGTAGTGGAGGCCCCATCCCTGGAGATATTCAAGGTCAGGCTTGATGGGGCTCTGAGCAACCTGCTCTAGTGAAGATGTCCCTGCTCACTGCAGGGGGGTTGGACAAGATGACCTTTGAAGGTCCCTTCCAACCCACTGCATTCTATGATTCTGTGATTCCTAAAACAGGGTGTAGCTCTTGGGATGCTTTTCCTACAGCATACAGAAGACCTCCCTCATTAGTAAAATCTGAGCCTTTTCTCAGGCTATACTGGTAGGGAATTAATTTTTCAGATGAAGAAAGAAGACAGAAAAGAGATTGCTTTAAGAAAGTGAGGCTTCATCACTGGCCACTTTTCCCAAATATACGCTCAGGTGGTCCAGATCACTTGGCTCGTTTTGCTAACAAAAACCCTAAAAATAAAATAGGTGTGCATGCTGTATACCTAGGTACCAGGCACTCTACCTGCTTTGCCAAATGACCCAGACAAGATGCAAGTAGAGAGGCACTTCCTCTACTCACAGCTTTGCAAGACAACTTGAGTTGTGATCCTGTTCTGGTGTCTCACCACCCTCACAGGAAAGAATTTCTTCCTAGATTCCTGGAACAGGTTGCCCAGAGAAGTGGTGGATGCCCCCTCTGGGGAAGTGTTCAAGGCCAGGTTGGATGAGGCTTTGAGCAACCTGATCTAGTGGAAGGTGAGCCTGCTGATGGCAGGAGGGTTGGAACTAGGTAACCTTTAAGGTCCCTTCCAACCCAAACCATTCTATGGTTCTGTGATTCCAGCAGCAACACAGGTGGGAGCAGCACTGCCTCTGCTGCTCTAACTGCTCCTGTGGCTCTTTCAGATACAGCCATGCCAGCCAGCGAGCGATTAACTCATATCCTATAACCCCTCTGCCAGCCACCCCGCTACACACCTTCTCCACCACAGAGGAGGCCAACCCTTACTGCCCCTGCCCAAGGCCCGAGTGTTATTTCCCCTCAAAGTCCATGCACTGTAGATTTATACAGAAAAAAAAGCATTGTTGTTTCCCCCCAAGGAGCATCCTGCTTCCTGAGGTAAGGGTGTGCTGATGCCTGTCACTGCAGCACTGCCGGGTCAGCCTGCAGAAACCTCTCCTGCTCCCCTAGGTCTGTCTTGCCTTTTATATTGTCTGGGACAAGCACAGCCTGCTGCTCTGTTATACTAGTACCAGAACTCAGCCCAGTCATTAAATGCCCAAATAAATGATTTCTAGCAAGTATAGACAACAAATACTATCTTAGGATTTCCAAATAAGAGGTATAAGATCTCTAATGATTTTAAAATAAGGCTATATTACATTACGTCAGTAGACTGAATGGTGCAAGTACATGAAAACTAGAAATATGTAAAACCCACAATGCAAAAATTTTTCCCCATGTTATTGCAAACAAACACTCAGATGTAAAGGTCAGAAAACCAAGTAGGTCATCTTTTTCACCCTAGTCAGGAGGATGCTTCACTTTAACATCTTGGTTTGGTCACATAATATTTAAACTGAGCTGTGATGCTATGAATCATGATCTGAACCACCACAGCTATAACTGGGGAAAAACTATAAAGCAGGGTTTCAGGTATGTTATGTGCAAGCTATTAAAGTAGCTTATTTTCAGGCAGGCTACTAAACAAGTTCATAAGTGGTGATGTTTTATGACGTTCCTCAAACTAGGACTAGAAAAGTTTAATCTAGCTGAAACTCAAAGTGACAACAAGGAAAACAGGGAGTTAAATCTCTTTTTTGAATGCTCCTCTTCACTTTATATTAAAAGAGGGTATGTGTACTGTAAAGTGTTATTGGGATCTGGCTAATCCTTTAAAGTCAAGCTTCCATGACTGACATGATCTGAGTGAGGGCACTGCCTCCTCTGCACTCACACAGGTGACTGCAGAGGCACTACAGCTAGAGAATGTATCTGGAAGTGCAGAAAGCTGATTTTTGTCCCCATCACTTGGTCCTTTGGCTCTCTCCCTGCAAACATCAAGCAGCATGGTGTTATCTTAGCACAGCTCTCTACTTGGCAGCATTTTTATAGGATCAGTTCTGTGTTGCAGAACATCACTTGCCCTCACATCTCTCCTGTAAGTGCTGTCAAACACATTTCATTGCAACTATCATGAGTTTAATGTCTTTGTAACGCTGTGGCTTTGTGTATTCCCATTTATAAAGAGAAAGCAAATTTACAACAATATCAATGAACGCTTCCATATAGGTAAAGTTACAGTAAGAGCAATATTCACTTTGATGTAAAGCATTTCATTATATAGGACGGAGGAGCCCTAATATTCTCTGCACTTTAGTTGTCTCATTCCTTCACAACACAAAAGCTATTCAGCTGGTTCCGAGTACGAGGACTTCTTCAGCACGCAATAAATAGTCCTTTCTTGGTAACCAGTTCATTGTTAGAAAGAAAAAGGCATTAATAAGATCAAGAGTTCATATATTTTCTATTTTTTAAATTTATCAGCAGGTTTTGTAACATGGCAGAATGTTACAATAATTTTAATTGGAATATGAGCCAGCAGTGTGCACAGGTGGCCAAGAAGGGATAGTGTGGCCAGCAGGACAAGGAGGTGATCCTCCCCCTGTACTCAGCACTGGTGAGGCCACATCTTGAGTTCTGTGTCCAGTTTTGGGCCCCTCACTAGAAGAAGGACACGGAGGTGCTGGAGCGTGTCCAGAGAAGGGCAACGAAGCTGGTGAAGGGTCTGGAGCACAGGTCTTATGAGGAGCGGCTGAGGGAACTGGGGTTGTTTAGTCTGGAGAAGAGGATGCTGAGGGGAGACCTTGTTGCTCTCTACAGCTACCTGAACGGAGGTTGTAATGAAGTGAGCGTTGGTCTCTTTTCCCAAGCAAAAAGTGATAGAACAAGAGGAAATGGCCTCAGGTTGTGCCAGGGGAGGTTTAAATTGGCTATTAGGTAAATATCCTTCACTGAAAGGCTTGTCAAGCATTGGAACAGGCTGCCCAGGGAAGTGGTGGAGTGTCCTGGTTTTGCTAGCCCAAAGAGGTTTGTGACTTCATGGGAAGCTCACGCTGGAAAGATCTTGTTCTTGGACTTTCATGCCAGGAAGAGCAGCCGAGGTGAACTGACAGAAACTCCCATTCCCTGACCTCTGTGCCGTTGTGGAGGAGAAGGTAGAGAAATCAGGAGCAAAGTGATTTGAACCCAGGAAGAAGGGAGGGGTGGGGGAAGGTGTTGTAAGATGTGGTTGTTATGTCTCACTGTGCTACTCAGATGAATAGTAACAAATTAAATTGATTTTTTTTCCCCAAGTTGAGTCTGTGACCCTAAGTGGTGAGTGAGACAACCTTGTCCTCATCCTAATCTGTGCCCCTTTGTTGTGACTCCCATCCCATTGCACCACCTGGGGGGAGGGAGTGCAGGACCGCATGGTCCCACCTGTAGGTTAAACCACCACACTAGGTTAACAGTTGGACTTGATGATTTCAAAGGTCTTTGCCAATCTGAACTACTCTATTATTCTATTGCAGGCTTACAGAAATAGAAGCTAAGACTGTGTGCATGATTAAACACATGTAAATAAAACACATTTTGCACTTCAAAATAAGCCGTAGTTTTGCTACCGAGTACTTTGTGAAGTCCATCAAGGCAATTACATTGAGCCTGACTTCTAGGCAAGGAGGATTTCTGGAGTAGCCAGGTTCATGCTGAAAGACCTGGCTTTTACTTGCATGAGTGAGAGAAGTGCATTTGAAACACTGTTAATCAAGGTAAGCATAGCCATTTAAGGGAAGGTTTTTTTCATACTAACCTTACAAGTAACAACATTTACAATTATGGTTTTCTCCTCTGAGAAGTGACATTGAAGAATCATTGCAACATTTCTGCAGACACTTCCCAGGGTTTAGGAGGGGTGTCATCATAGATAATATTCAACATAAGCCAAAATAATTCAAACAGATACTGCAAAATAACCCCGACCCAACCCCCTTTCTCCTACCTCATAAAACATATACAGAGAAAGCAGTGTAAGTCCAAGGTTGTAGACCACTAGAATACCCCTGCACGAGAACGGCTGCTTATTCCGCATGTACTTTGGTCCTAACCATACGATTAGTAAGTACAAGGCTGAGAAGATAAAGGTAGGTGTATAGTTCTCCAGAAGAAGCCATCCTTTTACTCTGGGGTCTGAAACAAACAAAAACATACAGATACTTAGATTTTGTAAGGGGAAGAGTTCAACACATCCAGAAAAAGCTGTATTCAAAATGCTTCTAGTGGTGGAATTACCAGAGAAAGACAAAGGAAGAGCAACAAGCCCTTTTATTAAGGGCCACACTGCCCATTACAAAAAACTTTGACGAACAACAAGGTATTAGTTATACAGTTGTTAAAAGAAAACAGAAATAAATCTCTTCTTAAGGCAAAGATACTCCTGAATTATTACCACTGTTATTTTTAACTGCTCATTACCATTCAGAATCATCTTCCATCCTGAGTACCACTGATGAGCTTAAATTATAAAGAAAAGCTTCAGTAACTCTCTCCCTCTTATCCTCTCAAATCAGTAGTACGCATCTTATTTCCTCACAGAGCCAGCAAAGCTAAGAGTGAAGCACATATCTTTGTGGTTATCAGTGGATGATCCTGATTAATTATTTTCTAATCAATACTAACCCAATTAGATTTACGTATGTGCTATTCAGGAGGATTAAATTTTGGAGTCCTTGTATGAGCAATGAAACACAAAGCAGTCAGTCCAATCTGACTAACCAGTCCAGTTGGCAACGTGTCAACTGCTCAGGAAAAGCACATAAACCATCTTGAATTAGAGCATTTCAGGGGAACATTTGGGACAAGTGCATGAACCTTGTGAACCACAACTGTGTCGTTTGTACCCAGCAACAGCATGGTATTTCACCCCTCTCACTAAAGTCCTGCCTAAAGGATGGAAGCCAAGTTTATCAAACCATAAATGAACAATTCAAGTATTGTTGGTATTCACAGCCCTGACTTAAAGTAGTCATATGTGGATCCTAAATTTAACAAATGAGGCCTTAAAATGTAGGTTGGGAAGTAGTTAAGAAAGCCAGGGAACTGTTTGTATTCGACACCTTTATGGTTCATTATTTTTAACACATGGCAAATACAAACAATATGCCAGCACATATAGTAAGTTATACCAGAACATCCAGACTAATCTAAATGGATTTAGGAGCAACAAGGGCACCAAGCTACTAAAAACAAACAAAAAACACACTTTGAAGGATCAGAGGCTTGTTCCACCTCCTGCAGACTTTGTCCTGTGAGGAGGGGGCACCACCACTGACAAAGAAAGACGTAGAAAAGATGCTACTGAAGCAAGCAGGAAGAAAGCAGATGCCACAGAGCAGCATCACTACACACACTCTGTAGAAGATGCTGACATGTCATGCCCCCTGGTCAGGACCAGGTGGAACAGGGCCACCCCTAACCTACCCGTCCTGGTCCCTCTGCCTCTCCCTTCCTCGTGCTGACCAGGACTGCTGTTATCCACCTACAAACCTTTTCCCAGTGAAAAATCTACCAAAACCGTTGTTTCTTCAAAAAGAATGGTTTCAAAGAAGCAATACCTTCCAAAAATTACAGATTTTTTTAAGTGAAAAATTCCTGAGCAGCTTTAGTTATGAGGGCAAGAGTACTTTTATTTTATGAAAAGTAAATGAAAATAATAGCTTGCATTTAAAAAAAAAAAAAAATAGCAGCTCTTCATGTCAAAAGATCAGAAGCATTGAACAGACTTTTTTATTACAGCATCACACATTTTGATGCTTTGCAGATACTAAAGAAAGTAGTCACCTGTCAAAGTCAGGATGTCAGAGGGAAACTGTTTCTCATGCTCTAGTATCTGCACTTTTGTATCAGTTTTTATTTATGTATTTATTTTTGGACAAATCTTACCTCTGGGTCCAAGCCAAACATCAAGGTAGCTATTGATTGTTTTATCCAGAAATTCCATTCTACAACCTATTGAAATGGAAAGAGGACAAAGTTAGTTCTTCAGCTCAGATGATTAGTTTTATCACCTGAATACCAGGTATTAGGGTTAACAAAGAAAATACTAATATACAAAAATTGCAGCAGACAGATACTGGACATTACAAATATAAAGTAGGTAAAGCTTATTCTAATCTTAGACAGCCACTGCTATAGGAGTAGTATTTTCCACTGAAGTATTTAATCATGGATCTAGATACACAGAAGCTTAAAATAATGAGTTCAGATTAACCTGAAGTTCTTTTCAATTCTGTATGTTGTAAGTCCAAATACAGGACAACATCTTTCAAGATCCCTCTGCAAGGAGGAGGAGGAGGATTGGACCTTGAGAAAGCCAACAACATTGGAATTCTCAAATAAATACTATGAAGCTCTTTTAACAAAGAGTCTTGAATATCTGGCAGCCCTAGCTGGGGAGGAGGAGGAAGGGAAGGAAAAAAAGTGAAAACTGGCTTTGCTGTCGCTTTTGAGGATAGATGACTGATTAAAGCTCTGATTAACAGCCCATAAAATCAACAGATCAACAGTCACCAAAGGACATAGAAGGCTGCAGAGGCACAGGAGGAAAAAATTGCAGTTCGTGGCATAAGCATCTCCGGTTCCAGAAACTGCTTACTGCTAAGACATTACCAGATAAAACTCATCCAACACCAGTACAGAAGAGTGATTCAAACGTCATCTACCAGCTCCTCACATGGTAGTATTTATTGGCAGCACGTGGTATATGTTCTGAGTACAGAAGCCGCTGTCCCTCCCTAAGGTTAAAGCAGGAAAGAAGTAGCAACACTTTCCATGAGCAGGTACAATTGTACACAAAGCTGTTCTCAAGAGAAGAGGAAGCAATTTTCTTCTCGATTAAGAAAAAACCAACCAAAACCCAAAAACACCCCTTCCAATTTCCTCTTTTCTATCCACAGTCATACTGAACTTTCACTAAAATAATTTTACCTTTTTAGTAGGATAGTTTTCATTTCTTGATGTTCTGGGGAAATAACATAAGCTGTCGATATACCCACAGCACAAACCGAAATGCTTAAGTGAGTTTACATGTAGTTGCTAACAACAAAAAAGTTCATCTCTATTTTTTTTTTTGTTCTAGCTAAAGAAACATCTCTTCCACCTGTGAAAACCCTGCCTCTAGGGGATTTCTGATTTACGCAAGCAAAATGAATAGTAGGTCCTCTGGTTTTAGTCAGCTCCGACTGACACCTCCATTTATTTCGAGTCCAGCAAGAAAAGCCAAGCAGGATACCAATGATGTCCTCTTCCTGGTCCAAAGTGGGACTGGGAGCCACCCAGCCACCAGGAGGGATTTTGACTTCCCATGGGACCAAGAAAATACAATGGGCTTGGATATGGGCATTTACTTTGCGTGGTCTTCTACCCTCAGCCCTTCCACCGCAAGGCTCCAGGCAGGAGGACAACACATTCACTGAAGATTTCTGGCTGCACCCCCAACCCATCATGTGCCACAGGGCTCTCAGGGACACACGTGTGTCCAAAGAAGGACAAGAAACCCGGTGAAGGGTCTGGAGCACAGGTCTTATGAGGAGCGGCTGAGAGAACTGGGGTTGTTCAGTCTCAAGGAAAGGAGGCTGAGGGGAGACCTTATCACTCTCTACAGCTACCCGAAAGTAGGGTGCAACGAAGTGGATTTCAGTCTCTCCTCCCAAGTAACAAGTAATAGGAAAAGAAGAAATGGCCTTAAGTTGCACCAGGGGATACTATGATTTTCCCTTCCATGTGCATGAAGTCTTTCTACTATTTTGGACTATACAAGGGCACAGAAGCTTCCCTGGAATCTGGTCATGAGCCACAAACAAAAGAGCTTGATTAAAATAACCAGGAGCCTTTTGCAGTTTCAATTCATACCGGTTTTATTTTGTGACAGAAGCAGCCCAGCCCAAATAAGTACACGCTTCACAAGAAGGTGCATTTTTGGGATTACATCACCTCACCAGCTATGACACACAAACTGCGAGCGCTTGCGTGAGCACCCTCAACACTGGCACACTGGTGTCCTAGGAATAAGGAAATTTAACTGAGAAGTCTATGCTGTGCTACCAGAAGCATGAACATCAGAAAGACTGTGAGAAATGAGTATATGTTTTTCAAGGAGAAGAAAGAAAACTACCCAGACTAAGCTCTTCTTTATTCTTCCCCATCTCTTTTTTCTTTTTTTATTTTTTTAAATCTGTCAGCTATTAAATATTGCCAGGAAAAGCGCTCCCCACCGGATAATTCATTTTGTTGCCTGAAATCCCCACTTACTCAATTTGTCTCCTTTGATCCAGTACCGATTGATTTAGTTGTGCAGCACTGCATCACTCAATAACCCACCGTCTGCGCCTGACTTCAACTCCCCTCTTTGCAGAAGACTTCAGATGGGAGAGTTTGTGTCAAAAAAAGGTTAATTACACAAAAATATACCAAAACATCTTGATTCAGAACTGACTTGCTATATACTTGTTTGCTAGACACTGTGAAAATGTAGATATGTAAATGAAACAACTAAGAAAGCAGAAGCAAACTATGCACAGCTACTGCAAAGACAGAAAGAAATGAAACTCGGTGTTCAACCCTTCCACAAAGCTGGAAGAAAAACTCATTCCCCTCGAGGAGGAGGTTTTCTGCAGCGGTCTCAGCTTTTTTGGGCTCCTACCCCAAAGCAGCTTTATGTGCTACTACCCCAAAGCAGCTTTTTGTGCCAGCACTATCAGACAGCAGATTGTAAAAGGCACAGCAAAAGAAGAACTACTCTTGGTGTCAATTTCCAGAATTTGCAGAAAAAAGAAATTGTTTTGAAAGGAACTCATTTGTGTAACAGAAAAACAGAGGGAAACAATCTGCTTTTGTTCAGAGGGGGTCATGTGAAAATGCATCAAGTCTCCTGCCAACAGCCACACAACATTAAACACTGCTTCATCGGCAGCAACTACAAGGGTTCTTTTTTTAATTAGAATAGTTTCTCAATTCAGAGGAACATCGACTTCCAGAAAAATTAAACCAGTTGCCATTTGAAACACTGTAATCTGCATGTTTCCTAATACTGAAAATAAGCAAATTCTGTAGCTCAGCATGAGCATGAGCAGATCACTCACAATGCTCCTTTACCTAGAAGTCATCCCACAGCAAGGCACATCATTCGGTACCTACAGCCAGAAAAAAAACAACCCCATTGTGTCACACACTGCTTTCTACAACAGGTACCTCTATATACACTACTTATTCTTCCCTAACCTGCCATTCTACAAGGGACAGGAAAGAAACCATCCTCTCTGCTACCAGATTTTACCAATGCAGTATGGTCCCTGAACACCAGGATCAGAGTCTGGAAGCACACAGGCTTACAACCTGAAAGACGTTTTACTCCTTCAAGTCCAAATATTTAAACCAGGAAAATGTGCCTCTGGTGTTTTAAACAAAACCAAACCCAGCTGATTTTTACAGATACTAGAGAGTCTTCCATATAGGCATGTGAAGGACTTCTCAGAGTTTCCAGGTATTCACACTGATGGACATAAACCAGATCTTAAATAGAGTCTAAGAAAGGCATTGTGCTTTTCATGCTCTCCTGGTACACACAAAGATCATGGTAGTGCACCCAAATAAGGCACATGAAGGTTAAAAGGATTGTGTTCTTATTAACAGAATATAAGAAAGGATCTATCTTAAATACCTGACTTTATCAATTACTTTCAGGAGCATGAAATCAACTCCTACTTTTCCTTCCCTAATCATTTTTAGGATGGTAAGTGAGTAGAGTTTGGAAATCCAACAAAAAAAAGGCATGAAGGCTACTAACAAAATGAAGTTTGTAACATGTCTGCTCAGAAAACCACGTGCTATGCTGTAGTCGAGCCAAATGCATACATTTGCATTCAAAAGTCTATCCATTGACAGATGACCACCCAACCTACCAAAAGCCACAGCTCAGGGAACAGTGAAAACATGGACTGGTGATGACAGCACGGGAGGGAAGTCACTGGCACACAAGAAGGCTGTGAGACACCAGTTCATGTTAGGACACAAAAACAGAGGAAAAGCCTAAAAGGGAGCTGCTACTCTCAAGCTGGGAGAGATGGAAGGGCAAAAGTCTCATCAGCCTGGAGAAAGCAGCTACGTGGTTGTAGGATGGAGGAAAAAAGTTCACGTCGCTTGCATGCTAGGTAGCATGGACACATCCAGGTTATTTGTATAACACAGGTCAAGAGGGAAAAAAAAAAATCTTTCATTTTTAAATTGGAACAGAAGGTACAGCGCAAAGCTGCTCCTAGGACGACTGAAGATATTAACAGGAAACACAGAGCAGAGCTGACTTTAACTAGGCCTTTGTCTTCTTGTAGGATCAAGTGCTACTCCAAAGAAGTAAAACACATTGAGAGATCATACCCTTCCTTCAAAGGAAATTCTCTCCTACGTCTTCCACAGAAAACACATTCTAGGGGGTTTATGCCAAAAAGTGATTTAAGAATTCTAATTCACATTTTAATGCTGTTTCTTGAGTTTCTTCTTGGAGTACCTTTGGTTTCCAGGTACAAAGACTAGGCATGAAAATCTAAAGGCTTGCCCCCCATCCCATGCAACCCTTTTTAAGTAAGCCAAATAGCATCAAGAAAACATTTTGGGC